GGTTAGAAATTAGAGAATTATTGTTTTTTTTTATATAATATATATAACTACTATAAGGGCCCGATAGGGCCCGATCTCAGTTCTCGTGAGGTTTTTGGGGATCCTGAACATTTTTACTTAGAGGACTCGATCCCATTTACTTAGTACATTTTTGAGATATAGCAACACCAGTGATGATTACCAGTGGTGATAAATAGCAAAATTCTATAGCAAATTATTTTAAAAATAAGAATCAAGTTCAAAAAAAATTCTATAGGAAATTCTACTTTACCAAGGTTAAAGTCACTTATTATTGATTTATCACGTGATCAAGTATGACTTTAACTTAGTATTAGTATCAAAAGTGTTATTTTTAAACAGTTGGTAGATTTTTTTTTTGATATTAATTGAGTTTTTATGTAATTTCGAAACATCAGGTTATGCAAAACAAAAATCAACTTTGTGTTGCTTTAAAGAAAAATAATTACCTTCTTCAAAAATGTTTTCAGGATATAAGTCTTCAGTTATATAACATCCTGTGAGAAGAGGTTGAAGACGTTGATCTGTAAGAATACACCTTAAGCCATTTCCAACATTACTTTTATTAAATCTATAATCAGTTCCACCATCCATTAAATAGTGAACAGCTTGCAAGACGTTGGTACGGTGTATTAGATCGAATTCAATATTCTTCCGGTTAGTTTTGAGAACGGCTTGTTTAGAAAGTCTATGTACTATTTCTTTAACAGCACAGTTTGTATTAACTAAAGCTGCATAGTTTTGCAATTTTGTACTAAATGAAAATCAACATGGAGGTTTGGTAAGTTTTCAAAATTGTCAGGAAATAGCTACAGAATTATAAAAAAAAACATTAGAAAATATTTTAAAAAGTCTTCAAAACGGTCTAACCTCTAAGGTATTGCACTTAAGAGGTAAAAATTCTATAAGCATTGTGACGATATGTATTTAAAGTCATAGGCATGCATTTAGGTGGATAAATATTATACAATAAAATATAACAATACCTTTAATAACATGCTATGTTCTTTTACAAGTAGCTTTATTTTAAAACAATATACCACGCCGTCTGCTATAGTTACTCAACACGCGATGATATCATTAATAACTTGCTTGGTAGATCGTCTTCGATCAGTAGATGACAAGCGGTCACATAAAGCTGTAAGGTTATTTGAAGTAATGCAGTCTGGTGCTAGGAAACGTCTCAAAATAAATGGCATTATTATAGATAACTGTAATGTGTCTGTTTTTAAGATGAGTTATAGGATTAGGCAAACGATGCCAATTTGAAGGCTTTTCAAAATGTTTCCAATATTTTAAAAATTGATTTTTTCCATTTTCATTTAACAAGTTAAAAGTATGTTCTAACAATCTTTGAATCTTTCTAGCAACTGCATAGTAAGCATCATGAGGAGTTTGTAAATGATGGTTTTGAGATAAAGTTGATAAAATGCCTGGTTTCGATCGGAGGCCATAACGTTTTGTAAACTCTTTAATTCTAACTTAGGCACATTTTGGCTTATTAACGTTTGTAATTCAATAAAAAGTTCTTGTGTAATATGATGAAACCGTGCACCATGTATTCTATTAAAGGTGGCATTGGTCAACTGATCCTTTGGAACAAGGCAGTTTCGACATCCATATAGGGCGCCTTGTTTCTTAACATCGTTGAGTTCATTCTCCTAAAATAAAAATACATACAGCTTAATTTGATTAATTTAATTATATACAGTAAAATATAGGTTGAAATATTAACTAAACTGAACTTATTACTACTTGCGGTAAATCAGCTATTACTAGCCCAATTGAAGCAATAACCCAAACAGATTCTTCATTCTAACTGATGGAGTTCTTGAAGTAGAAGACACATTGTATCATCAAAATGACCTCCAAAAGAGATGAAACCAACTATAAAGTGGTTTTTTAATTGTTTTCGTAAATTTAAAGGCATATTGCCTATTTGAATATAGATGCCTCCTAATGAGTGGTAGGCATTGCAATAGATTCCAAAATTATCGTTATAAATATCAATCATAAACTTGAATGTTTTTATATTATGCAAAGGTGGTGAATTCGGAATAATGTATTCAGAAGAATGATGATGAAACTTTACTGATAGAATTTGAAATTGCTTCGTAACGGTATTTTGATATAGAATTTCAGATATACAAAAATCATAAGACGCAGGCTGGGAAATATTCTTAAGCTATATTGAAACATGTCTTAATATATAATTGAGAGGAATAATTTGATAATTCTTTTCTATCATCCAGAGCTCTTTGTGCCCTCACCAGCTTCTATCCTGACTGCAATGAATTCCCAACTCCTCATGCTTTAAAAGCCTTGCCATTTTTAAAGCGTCTTGCATTTGATCATTTGGATATTCAGAGTTAGATGGCAGCAAAAATAAGATAATGGCTTCAATTCTTCCGAATCGCCTTTCATGTTGATTCTTGCTATTTGTGTAGATAAATTCTACAAATTGTCCAACGGTATATTTAACTAAAAAAAGTTAGAAGTTAAAAAAAAAAGTTACTGTTATTAAAAATTAGGATCTACGTTTAAGTTTATAAAATTCATTTACATTTTTTTATAACTTTATCTCTAAATACTAGTCTAACTATAAAAAAAAAACATGGCCTAAGAATTTTAAATTATCATAGTAGATATATTCAATTTTTAATATCAGTTGGAATAACTATCGAGATTGACTTACTATTATTTATGATGACAATTGTATCTCTATATAAAGGAGATCATTGCCAGATATTGCCATGCCATAATTCAGATTTTTCTTGGCTTTCAATACTGCAGCCAAAATACATCTTTGCCATCAATTGTGGGTTATTCAACACATGTTTAAGATGTTCTTTTACTGAAATTGTATAGATAGCTTTGACTTGTTTTAATGTGGAAAGTGTCTTTCGATCATCAATGGGGATAAGGTAGCTTTTTATATTTAATAGAGGCATTTTTGTTTACAGAGATCTAAGACGCCTTATGTTTTCGGGTGTGTGGTGAGATTGAAATTGTGGATATTTTATAATCACAATCAAATCTTCATATGCCTTTGTGGCTTAAAGGTATATAAATAAAATCAAAAAAAAGTAAAAAATATTTCAAATTAATCTCCTAGAATACATGTTATATGAAATTAAAAAAAACCTTATAACAAACTACTTACATATTATATGTTTAGTGACCTACAGGAAAAGCATTTGTTCAGTAAAATTAGGGAAGTATAGACCATATTCACCATAAAATGGCTCAAAGAATGCAGGCTCATCTGCTATTTTTTGAGTAAATAGACTATTATTATTAATTGAAAAGTAATTATTACAATTTTCAAGGTTATTATTATTATTTTCAAAGTCGTCGTCACTTTCCTCAAGTTCAATATTGTTAATTAATGTATCTTCAAGATCATCATTACTAGTGTTCCAAATCGTTAGTTGGAAAACGAATAGTTGACAACTTTCCAACTAACCGGTTAGAAAATTTTTTAATCAACTAACCAACTAATCATTCAATTAATATAATTCCAAGGTATTCTGCTTATTCAGGATAATTTGGAATGATTTCTTGGATTTAATTGGCTAATATCTGAAAATATCACATGATATATGTAACCAGTTAGTTGCCAACTATAGTTGGCAACTAACCGGTTGGTAAAATTTTAACAATTGAAACACTAGAGGTATTGAGAATATTCTATGACCCATTGTTAGACCGTATACAAAAAGACACAGAGTTAGGTTATAAAGTTAGAGTGCCAAAGCATATGAAAACCCTATTAGGGATTGAAGAGCTTAAAGGTGCAAAGCAGGCAGTTCTCGCATACACCGATGACACTATATGGATTGCAAGCTTGAAAACTTAATTAGAGCAAATAACTCAGATAGCAGAGCAGTTTTTCAAACTAAATGGTATAGAAATTAATGGTAGCAAGTCCAAACTCATCGTACTTAATTCAGAACTTCCTTCAACAGAGAGATAAATAGATTATAGTAGTGCATTTGTTAAAGCAGAGAAAAAACTGCATAATCTCAAATTTCTTGAAACATTTCTATATATAAAGAAAGAGGTAGTGGAAATCAAAAAGAAATTGAAACAAATAGTAGGCCTCTTTACATGTAAGTTAGAAAGGAAGAAAACTACGACTAGCCAATTAGTTTATATAAACAATCAAGTTTTAATTTCCAAACTGGAGTATATTCTGCAAATGGTAGTGTTAATGGAAAAAGAGTTGAACATAATCCACCAGCCATTTCTGAGACTGATAAAGAAAAATTAGGAATAGTACAAACTACACCTAATAGCATTTTAATCTATAGTGGTATATTAGAAGTTAAATTGCTCGCGGATGCAGTATTAGCAAAACAGGCCACGACACTAATCAAAAGACTAAACAGCACGGGAATAGTAGAGAAGATAACAAAGCTAAGAATTAGACAAGAAATACTCAGAAAAGACATAACTCAAGACGTCTGGAGTTCACCAATATATAACATAACAAGTTTTAGCCATAGAGATAATATCGCATTAAGCATAGTTGAACATTGCAAAAAGATAGGTTTGATGTTTACAACTAAAGAAAAAAGTTGGTGTATTCTAGGCTCGGGAACATCAATAGCAAGCATGCTTAACCCAGTAGATAGAAAAGGGTATAGAAAATGGCAAACAGACCTAGGCCTATATTTCATTAATCAACTACTAGATATAAAAGGTAGAAACTTATTAACTTGGCATCAAGTAAAAGCAATGAAAAACTGGCATTGTAGTGGAAAAGCTCCACGCTAGTACAAAGTAATAGAAAATCCAATACTGGCAAACGAAGAAGAACGTAGAGTCAAACAGCAGTTTCAAGTTCAAGAGACAAATTGGAAGGCTATGGTACCAGTTCTCCCAGGTATTAGTACAGATAAAAGACAAAAAGATTGGGTTTTACACCGTGTTCAGAAAAAAGAAACAGACTCAATAGTAGTTAATCATTGGGTTGAGTCAACCCAAGGAAAAAAGGGAGCTTGCCTAGAACAATGTAGTGCCTGCAAACTTAGTGAAATAGACAATGAAAACAGGTGTACTTTCAAATTAGGTATAAGCCAAGTAGTAGAAAAAATAGACTATGTTGCCAAAGACGAAGAGGGATGGTGTCTCAGAATTCCACTAGAGATTTATAGTGTTCTCGCTATAGAAAAAGACATCTTAAAAGACATATTTGGAGGATTAGATGAAATTAATGACAAAGATCTTGAATATATAAACAACTTTAATTTTCCAACCAACATTCGAGCAACATTAACGCATGGTTTAGAAATTAATTTTAGCCAAAAGAGACAGAATTGTATTTTCTACACTGACGGCTCATGGGTCCCAAATAAACTAATTGAAAATAAGGAAGATAGAATGGGTGCTGGTTGGATTCAAGTTATGGAGGATGAAAAAACAGCAGTTTTCAAAGGCAAAGTTAGAATAAGTGACTGGCCATCATCAACAAGACCCAAATTGGCTGCAATTTTGTGTGCTCTGTTAACAGTAACAGGAAATGCTTGTGTACAGATTAAGACAGATAGCTTAGCAGCAATCTCAGCCATAAGACGGGCATTAAAAAAAAAAGAGTTTAGCAAAGGGCTGAAAGTGAAAAATAGAACAATAATCGACAAAATAGTAGAAACCATCCAGTTTAAAGAACTTGAGCTTGATTTGATAAAGATCAAAGTACATAGTGGAGTAAAGTGAAATTAAGAAGCAGATAATATCACAAAAGAAGGTGCTTACTTGGATAAAACATGGAAGTGGCCAAATAACCTGCGATCATGCTGGAGTTTTAATATAAAGTGGCAAGAAAGAAGTATTGAATATCTGCTTCGAAAGTTCATTTTGAGATTAAAAAGAAGGCTTATAGAATGTGAATGGTATTTATCCAAAAGGTGTGATTCACTACGACAATTAAACCAGAAAAGTAACCCCATATAGTCACGTTGCTAGGAAAGATTAAAAGAGCTGAGAAGCCAAAGATGTAGATCGCTTCAAGATAGTAATAAGCTCATAAGCTGGTTAAAGTGATTATTTGGTATGCTTCCAATGCTAGATAAACTCCACCAACGCAATCCAGATTTATACACTTCACCAATGTGTATAATGTGTAAAGAAGAGGAAATAGAAAATATAGATTATCTTTTTAGCTGTAAATCTTATCAAAAGGTCTGGAAGCAGGTTAAAAACCAAGCTCTTGTGACAGCGTGGACCATGCTTGAAGAAAAACTAGATTTATGTACTCTATAGAAGAAATTAAAAAGGTGGTTTTTGGGAGTACGCAAGAAGAATGGTTGGAAAAAAAGAAAAGCTCTCACTTTCGGTCTAGCTTGCCAAGCTAATTTTTTTTTTTTAATTTTTCAGACTGACTAAGTCAGCCAGAACGCTGGTGGCATCTTTTTTATTATACTTGATTAATAAATAACTTTCTAATTACAGATTAA